CTTTAGTGAACAAAATGATAATACTCCAAGCTTATCGGTAAATGGAAAGAAATAAACATATAGGATTTGTAGGACCTGGCTTATTAAATGTTATTGATTTAAACAAATAATTATTGAACAGTATGTTCAGTGTGTAGAATAAATAAAAGGCAGTATTAAAAATACCAACGACATTGCACTTAATCAATCCCCGCTAATTATGTAATTTTTTAGCGCAATTTCCATACGGACAATTGCGATTATTAACTCATCATTTCTGGTGATGGATGGATGGATGTGCGCAGCTTTAAGTCGTATCTCCTCCTCAACGAAGCAATATCGAGGACTAGTTCTAAAGCAAATATGTTAAGCAAATTCCGAGGATGATTGTGGGCCAAAAAAATTCCCGGAATTCCTTCCTGGATTTCCAGGAAAAGCCAAAAAACCTTGAAAACATGCAGTTTTTTTTGCCCATATCTCGGCAACCAGACCACTTAGCGACTTGAAACATTTACTATTCGATTCCTGCCATAATTTAGAACAATATTGCCGAAGAAAGTTTTAAAAAATATCCTTTCGTTCGGTCACAAAAATTGTTTAAATATATTTTAAACTGAGCATCGTGTAGGCCTAAGATATTTACTACTTTTTTAAACTGAGCATCGTCTAGGCCTACTCGTTAAAATAAAACTATTTCCGTTGCTGAATATATGATTTATCTTTTACTTATTAATTCAAACGTTATTTTTGTACCCTATTAATTTATTTATAATTTATATGAGAGTGATAAGGAGTTACAATTACAAGGTTTTGTTTCCCTAGGCCTAATCATTTTTTCACATTTTTTAAACTGAGCATCGTGTAGGCCTACTCGTTAAAATAATACTATTTCCGTTGATATAGGTTAATATAGTTGTCTTTTTTCAGCGGAAAATTAACTTGTTTACTTATTAATTCAAACGTTATTTTTGTACCCTAATAATTTATTTATAATTTATATGAGAGTGATAGGGAGTTACAATTACAAGGTTTTGTTTCGCTAGGCCTAATCATTTTTTAACATTTTTTAAAAACAAACTTGATCACTATCTATTTTTAGATAACATAAGGAAATTGCGCTTAAAATGTCACTAGACTTTTTATTAACTTGTTTTTCTTAACACCAAAACAAAGTAATAAAAAGTAAATTCTTTCTTCCCCCGATTTAATATATTTTTTAAAGGGAAGCAACTGTGCAGTCAATACATTTCAGACACAATTGATACACTTTAAAAAAAAATGTAATGTTCATAATTGAAAATTATTATTCTAAGTACATACAATGAAAATTGTTTTTAAAGACTTTCAATAGTAATCTTTTAACTCATAAATGTAGACTATGAGCACGATAATAATCTAACACTTAAATCCATTTAAGTATGTCCACGACAAACAAACTTATTGCATGTTACATACAGAATTGAGCTTTATATATTAGATTTTAGCCCTTATATATTTGATATACAACTTTTCTTTTTAGCTTTAATGATCATCTAATTCAAGAATACAAGGGATTTACCTATTTAGATTCTAGATCTAGAGCTACGGAAAAACTAAACTAATCAGCTCTATCTAGATCTAGAATCTATGCGAATAATGGGTTTCTATTCTAAATTATTTCAGGCTATAAATATTTTATATAAAGCTTTGTTTGTTTAAATATGGAATTGGCTAATTTAGGATTTAATTTAATTTAAAACAATGGAGTACCCAAATAGCTGAGTTGATTGTGTAATAGTTAACATGCGGGTGGTTCGGGTTCGAG